TGGGAAGARCTACGTGGGGAATGAAGAGGGAAGCAAATTCAGATTCAAAATCCCCGTGTGGGGATGCTGAATGTGTTACTCCCAGGTTTAGTGGACCTGGGACAATGTGGAATAAGATCTTAAAATAAACCTGGTGCCCCTGCCCATAGCAGGGGGCTGGAATRAGATTATTTTAATGCCMTTCCAACCCAAASCATTCTGTGATTCTGGATTTTAGGATGGGTTGTTTGTGATGTGAATTATTAAGAAGTTTATTAAACTATTAATCACAGACCTTCTCAATGATATTTTTTGTCTGGGAAGGTCACCACAACTGGCTGCCAGACAGATCATTTGCATCACTTTTCTTGTGTCTTTAGGTGCTTTTAGTACAAACTGTGAATGCAGGAATGTATCACATTTTTCTCACCATCTTGCTCAACCAGGACTCCCTAAAATACAGGGATTCCTCTGGAATTCACCAGCTTGGGCTCAGTCTCCAGAAGGGATGGGTGTTATCGCTGTTACCAGGCAGTTCAAGCATAATTTCTGCTGAATTACTCTCTCCAGCAGTGGGATGTTTTATCTGTCTCTTTGTCAGCTCCTCAGAGATATCGCTGTGTTTTATTTGCCGATGGCCTTGATACACAAAAATGGATTCAACTGATCCACAAGTTAAATTTCGGTTCTCGTGGATATCCCCTCATTCATTTCTGTATTTGCAGAGGAGAATAATGAATTTAATAACAAAATAGGCAGGAACAACCAACTACTGATGGTTGGAAGGAGATATTGGGCTTGTAGATTTAGATTTTGGGCTTGTTCATAGATAAATACATCAAAATTAGTGATTTTACTGAATTCCCTCTTCTTCTTCTACCTGGAAACAGCTAACCAGACCAAACCTACTAATCATGTTATAACTTTCAAAACACAGTCCTGAAGTCACACACCTGCWTAAATGGTTTTGTATTGAGCATCAGAGAGCCCCTGTTCCAGTTTTTAAAAGCCATTTACACCGTGGTTGGGCTTTATGAGCTTTGACCTCACCAAAATCATTGCAAGCAATGCGATCACAACCTTGACATGAGAATTGGGGGRAAAAAATGGAAGAGGAGAGGAAGGGCAGCTGTAAAACAAGCAGGGAAGGTGGGCAAGAGCACAAAAGGAGTAAATCCTTTTTTTATAAGCTTGTGACAATTCCTCCTCGCTCAGACCAGATGGAATGAGCTTCCTCTGYCTTTGTTTTTAAACTGGTTTAATTTGGTAACTACGTGGGCTTTATTTATAGGCTTGCTATGGCAATCATGGGAGGCAAAAATAACAGCAGCAACCTGCTTCCCTTGCCCATGGATGTCACAAACACGAGTTAAAGCTGGGGTTTGGGAGATGTTTAACACCTATTTTTGATACGGGCTCAGTCTGTATCAGATACCAGCAATTCTGGGAGAGCTCCAGCACTTCCCTGCCAGGMTAAAAATCTCTTGTAATGATTTAGAAGTTCAGATCTGCACCCAAACATGGCAGGACTTGAAGGCCATCAATCCCAAGGCTTTTGAATCCACCTCTTTTAAATTCTAATTTAATTAATGGCCCTTACTCCTCTACACTCCTCTGGATCAAACCCAGTGTATTTATCTGGGAAGACTGGTTTAAAATCAGGCTTGGTGTCTCATACCACTAAAGGGAGAGAAAAACATGCAAAGGGGACACCAAAAATTACTGTTTGATCTGTGAATTGTTACTTTTACACCCAGTTCTCTTTGCCTGTGAGACTTGTGCTGSGATGTGTTAATGGGCAGCAGTTTTCAGGTACTGATCACCCTGACACCGAGCTGGGGAAAAGCATGAACAGGGTGAACTGTTCTCAGAGTATTCAGGGACCACTTTTCTGCCTGAATGTAGTAAAATGGGAGTAAATAGCTTTCAGGTAAGAGAATGCCCCGAGCACATTCTGTGTGGTCAATAACAATCTCAAATTGAGTGTCAATACCCAGGGAGCCGTACCTGTGTGTGTTCAGAGGTTATACTGGATTTTCTAAGCAAGCATAAGTTTTCAGTAGCCTGAATGTGGAGCTTCCAGTGAAGTTACCACTCTGAGATGATTTTTTTCCTTAAAATATGCTCATCATCTCATTTTCATAAAGTCTATTTAATTTGCAAACTGATCAGTAAAAATACAGAGGAGTACTGGGCTATAAAATAGATTTGTTGCTTACATGTTTTTTAATACCTTGCACAAATTTTCAGCAGTTCTTTAAATCGTGCCTGTCATAAAGCAGAATATAASAGCTTTTTATTAATAGCTAGTTCAGATAATCACGTGAATTTTTTATGGTCTCAGATATTCTAGATTTACGGTCATTTCCTCAAGTGGGCATGAATTATGGGACTRTACATTCCTAGTTCTCCCTGTGCTGTGCTGGGATAAGAACAGCCTTGAGACATCACAGCTCAAGAGCTCTGTGGAGGTATCCTTACATTTTAGCAGGGATTTTTGGCAAACTCACAGGTTTTCCCTGGCTTCCTCTCCCACATCAGTCACGGCAAAAGACTGGCATGGTTAAATTTGCTTTTAAATCCTTCAGAAGCAAAGATTAGTGCTGATATTCCTTGCCTTGTGTACAATCTGTGGTTGAGTTTGGATCCTGGGCAATGTCCTGCTGGTGCCCAGTGGTGTTTGGTCACTGGTGATGCTGGTCTGGAAGGTGACGTACGCTCCGTGACTCGGCACTTGGGCAGCTCCTGGGCTTCTTCACCACATTTTCCTTCCCTGTGTTCCTCTCCACTGAACTTAGCCACTCTTTTTGCTGAGTTAATTCTATATATTTTAGAATATAGAAGATATGTGTGCCTCATGCAGAAATGCTTCTGTCAGTGCAGTGGTTAACTGGGGAGAAAAGGGAGCAATGATCTTAAGAGCTCCTTGTTCGTGAGCTCAATTAGTACAAGGGTGCATTGAATGCTAAGTGCTGGCCCTCTTGATAAGGAACTGAACACTTTCTCTCGTGGTGCTCCTGCCCAGCTGGTTTTTTATGTGGCAATCCCGGGGAAAGGCACTGATTCCATCCAGGATTAGAATGATCTCCAGCATCTCGTTAAAAACACACATCGTTAATAATGCCGGAGTACTAAAGAGCAAACATTTTTCATCAAGGGCATCATGACATCCTTACAAAAAAACCCTAGAAAAAGCTGATTTAATATCAGCCTTCCCCATTCTGTGAAGGGAGGATGCTTTCAATGCAACAGCACCTGAAACTCTGGGGCAGGATTTTGTTTTAGAGCTGTTGGAATTAGAGCAATTACATCTGAGTCTCTGGATTAGCAATCTACATTATGGATTTCTCCTGGAATCAGGGACCGTATGCCACCACTCTGTAGCAGAATATCACCCTCCAGGTGATGAATTAATAATACCTGAGCCCTGAGATATTTCCATCTGAATATGAATTTTTCATGCCAGAGGAAAATCCAGCTTTTAACTTAGAACTGTTATTTGTGCTCGGAGGGACCAGAGCATTGTAGTCCAGACAGACAGGCATGAGCAGGYTGGTGGAACACCAAGAGGCATCACACCAAGAGTGAGGAGATGCATTCCTCTCCCTGCTTTCCTGTTTATCCTGTTGGTCTGTTGGCTTGGAATTTGGCATTAAATTAATCCCAGTACATGGCTAGGACATAGTTGCGTATCATGTGATGGGTTTTATTTATTTATTTYTTTATTTTTAGCTGGTAGTTTTTCCATCCAGCAGCCCGATTTTAACCTTGATACATGCAGCATTCCTGGCAGCCCTGTAAATCTGAGCACGATCCAACACTTAAACAGAGGGAATAAATTCCCAGTTTATATCAGACGTGACCTGTTACTGGTTTGCCTTTTCTTAGCACTCGCCAGCATTCAGTGGGGAAAAAGAAATGATTCCCCGAGGCTGGGATAAACAGGTCTTCCCAAACTTCCCATTCTTAGAGCCTAATGAGTTAAATTCTCCTCCGTGCAGGATTTTAAGCTGCTTAGACACACAAGGTCAAAGCGAACCGCTCCATTCCCGTTCTGACTCGTGGCTGAGAGCGGGGCACAGCTCCCTTGGGACGGAGCCCTCGGGAGACGGTGACATAAGCGGGGAATTTATTCCCTGCTTCCAGCAGTGCAAGATGTCCCTATTTCGCTGCGGCCCCCCCGCCTCCCCCAGGCAGATCCCATGGAACTGCAGTCCTGCATCCCCTCGCTGCCGTAACTCTCCGTAAACACGGCATTAAGTACAGGCGCTGAGGTCACGGCAGAGGATTTTTACTAGCGAGGGAGGCAAGATGGAAATGCAGAGCGGGAAGCTCGGGATGCTTTGCGGGGTGCAAGGACTGTGACTTTGGGGATGGATCCCYGCTACCTTTTGTCCCGTTTATCCTCCGGCGTTTCAGCGGCATCCCCGATTTCTGTGTGYTCGGTGATGGTGATGGGGGCTCGGGTGTGTTAAATCGGGAGAGCCCTGCGTGTCGATGAGCACAGTTCACTGAATAGCAGCAGCTTCGGTCCCCGAGGAGGATTTTTGGGTTGGTTGGGCTTTTAATGAAGTGCTGTACTGCAAGTTCAGGGATGAACACATCCCGTGTTCCTCCATCGCCGCTGTACGGACACTTCATTAGGACGGCTGAAGTTAATAAGCAGCGGTAGTTCCTCGCCATCAGCCATGTGAAAAGCCAGAGCACTTCGTGCATCCTCCAAAAATCCTCCCGCTGCACCTCTCCCCTCCCCGGCACCGCTGGAAGGGGAGCAGGCAAAGAAACRCGGGTATTTTTCTAGAAGAAAGTCGCGTATCGGGATATTCTCCTTATCTGTCACGAAAGTTATTGGATGCAGGAGCTGTTCGCAGGCAGCAGATACGCTATTGCATAACGCTGGCGCTCAGCGCCCAGCCTTTCTCCTCATCCCTACGAAGTTTTCCGCTGGCTAAAGCAGAGGACGGGGCTATTTCGGGGGGTCGGGGCGAGCGAGCCGCGGCCGGGGGCGGTCGGTGCCTTACCTTGTGCTTCCTCACGCAGAAGCGGCGGTCTGGGCGAGCATCTCCCTCCAGCCGCCGGGGCGAGCTGGGCGTCAGAGCCTGAGCGCCGCCGGGGCGCATCTGCCGCGGAGCCGCCGAGCCGCCGGAGGAGCCGCAGCCGCCGCCGCCGCGCTCCCCCGCTGCCCTCATGGGCTGCGGCGGGGGCTCGCTGTCGGGGGGTCCCCTCGGCCGGCTCCCCGCCGAGGGGAACTTGTTGAGCGGGACCGGCGGGCGTCCCCCAGCCGGGCGGGAGCGGGGAGGAGGAGCCGGGGGCCGGGCTGGCGGCGGGGGCGGGCGGGGGAGGTGGGATGGAGCGATGCTCGGCGCGCGTTGGCCGCGCAAAATGAGGGGAGAAGCGGGGAGCAGGCGTTCGTAGGCTCGCTGGGAGTCCTCCGCTATTCCTCTGGCTCCTCTGCGCGGGGATTCATTAATAACTGAGCCGTGCACACCATCCCCGCGCACCCCGSTTTTCCAGTCGCGCTACGGGAGCGATGGAGCAGCCGCAGAGTGGGTGATGCTGATCCATCGGGAATTTCAGCGAAGCGCTGGGTTAAAGCTACACGGCTGTCTTTTGTTGGGAGGGGAGGTGTTTAAGGTGCTGAAGGAGTAGCTGCTCCCATTTGCTTTTAAACCTTGTATAAAATGGATGCAAGTTCAGAGCCAAGCAGTTTGGCAGAGGGGATTGATGAACGTGATCATCTGCGTAAAACTTGAATCCCATCTTTCCTCCTTCTCTCTCATTTTTTTAGGTTTTAGCAATGATGCTTTCCATAAAAAAAAAAAAAAAAGTTGGAAGTTAAGTGGGTCATGTGTATTCAACCCAAATGGCAGACAGAAAATGCCATGGGAGGCASGAGAATTGGTCCTATTTGGGAAGCTCTGGGTCAGTCTTTCGTTCTGAGAATCCCGGGAGTTTTGCTGTCCAATAAATACTTTCCACCAGGAAGCTCCCCGAGCGCAGGTGCCAGCAGGTGTGGGTCACATCGTTCTCTGTCACGGCACTGCCTTTACCATTGGTGTTGATGGGGGTGATTGATTTTGGGGGTTACTGAAGCAACCCCTGATTTGAAGCGGTAGCTGAGAGCGGCTGGACCAGCCCAAAACGTTCCACCACAAGCCCCACACCACAGCAGGCAGGGCCAGCYGAGCTGGGCTCTGGCTGAGTCCAGGCATGCACGGATCCGATGCAGCAGAAACACTGGCTCGAGTCCTGGGTGTTTTTTGGAGTTAATTARCTGGAGCAGCCCATTGCAGCACGGAGTTGATGTGCTGCCGCAGCGGCCGGGGCACCGCGCTGCTGCCAGCCCGGGCACGGGGCTGTGCTGGGTCAGGAGATCCGGGTGGATGCAGCTGTCAGGCACAGAGCAGAGGGGAGATGGAGTCACGGCAAGCCTGGCCGGTTCAATCGCAGCTTGGCTGGATCGGAGCGGTGTTCAACAAAGCAGGCAGTCAGCAGAGGGCAGCTCCGCTGCTCTCCCTGCTTGTTACCTGTCCAGGTACTCCCAGTGCCCATCCCTCTGTTCCTTATCTCTGCTGCTGATCCCTGAACTCCCCAAGGCTCCACCTTCTGCTCTGCCCTGGGCTAGGGACTGTGCTGAGCTGGTGGCACGGCTTTGATCACCTTAGAATCTCTTTTTATCACAGATTTCTTTTTTTTTTTTTTTTTTTTTTTTTTTTTTTTTTTTTTTTTTCTCAAAGCCATTCTTGGGAAGAACTTAAATATCGACCTGCTTATTGATGCAACAGCATCCACCACACTGTTGTGTTTTTTTCATTCTGTTTTGCTTTCCAGCAGTGCTGACTCGGTCCTCTGTGGATTTCTCTCTATGAAAATAAATGTGGTTTTGGCTGCAGCCTGGATACAGACGTGGGTAAAATTACATGGTAGGGTGACCACGTCTGAAATAACGTAGGCTACTTCCTCAGAGCAAACAGATCAGTGGTAGGAGAGGCTGCTGCTTTTTCACMAGCTGAAAATGTGAGTTCATCCAGCCCATGATTACTGGAAGAAAATACTGTTGCTCGATATCCTGAGTGACTTGAAAGGAGAATCTCTCTGACAGAAGCAGCAGTTAAACATCATTCTTGTCTTTTCCATAATGATATTTAGAAGCYGTTGTCTCAGGGCTGATTAGCTTTGCACAGCATTATGCATATGCCCCACTTRTAAACTGTACAGCATTTGCTGGAGATTTTTAGGGAATCAAAAAGTACTTTCTTGATGTGGACCAGATTCRTGTGTAACTGCTGACACCATTGGTGTACACAGGGATTTTTCAAATCAGGGTTTGTGAAAAATGAAGCGTTTCCCGATGATAGTRCTTCATGTTACTGTAAAAGCACACAGAAGTAAATACACTGGGGAATTGGAAGCGCTTCATCATCCCGTTTGCCAATTTTTTACCTTTTAAAAATGCTGAGCACAACTGTTGCATAATGAAATGTAGTGTTGAAGAGATGCTGGGGAGGGGGGAGAGGAGCTGGGCTTCAACCTGGGCAGCTGCAAAGAGAAATGAGACAATTCATTGGTTTAGGTTACAGATTTCTTTCTCTCTCATGGAGTATCCTGCTGTCCCACACTGGCTTTTTCTCCCGGGGTGTGCCAGGGAGGAGTGAGCAGTGGGGCTGCAGTTCTTCCTTCGTGTCACACATCCAGGTGCAAGTCYTGCCTTGCACTTCTGGGGTGAGTGAGGACATCAGGGCTTGGAGAGCAGTGAGATGGATTTTATGGCATTCTCTGTGGAGAAGCACAGCAAGGGGCCCTCCTCCCACGCTGCAAATTGCGCAATAAATTTGGGGTGTTATTTATAAATATCCATCTTCTCACACAGCSTGGTGTTRCAGACTTCAGGTTTTACTTTMTTTTTTCTTTTTCTTAGATTCAGCTTTTGGGTGAGTTAAGGGGACAGAACAATCAGGATGACTGTAGAAGGTCAGCCTGGCATGTCCTTCTCACACTCAGAGTCTGGCTCAAGGACTGCCCCTGGTGAAGGCTGTGTTTGGGGGAATTTGTGTGCTGAGCAGGTGATTTATAGGATTATGTGCTTTTAGAACACACAGGTCCTACAGTGGAAAACTAAAATGTGGGTTTTTGGAGCAATTCTGTGAAGTTGTGGAGAAAACAAGCTCAGATGAAGCTCAGGGAAAAGCACCCAGAGGTTGAAACGCCTGCCAGGTGTGTCAGTGACCACCAGTGTGGGGCAGAAAGCTGACAAACCAGCCCCAAAGGGATTTTCACATCTACATCGAATCTAGATCAAGTAAATTCTTTTAGGAGGCATAACACAGATCCCAGGACTATATACCTGAGTGGGTTCCCAGGATATTCCTAATTCTTTAGGACCAGGCTAATTTTTTGCAGAGCTTTGAAGGGTGAAGTTCACTTGATTTGAAACAGAGCTGTGGACAAGGTTGTGCCTTTTCTCTCTGTGGTCACTTGGGACCAATACTGTCATTCTGTCTTTGCTAAAAATGAGAATTTTGACATTGCTGAACCTTCATTCCCATTAATTATGTGATTATTGCCATGCCTTTGGATGATCACTGCCTGGCTTCCTGGGCTAAGTCAAAATTTATTTATTTATTTCCTCCAATCTGCCGTTGGAAGAGAAATGGAAGGATTTTGAAAATGCTCTTYTGCTCCAGCTGAGGTGAAGGGAAACTTGTCAGGAATTTCAAACAGGTCTTCATGCAGTCAGATCCTTGCAGGTKCTCCTTGCTTTGAGGAAAGGTGGATCCTGCTTGGCTGTGATACCAGAGCAGTAAGGTCTCTTGGAGTCATGTTTGGCAGAAATTTGGAATATTTGATGTCTCATTTTATAAGAAGTTTTTTTCTATGAGCTTGGACAATCATTTGAGTCTGTGCTGATGTCTGTTCTTTATCTGCAAAGTGCTAATTCCACATCTCTTTACTTGGAGGAACATTTTGAAGATAAAGTGGATTTAAGAATATGTGTATAATACCCATAATACCTGCGTGCAGCTGAAATATTAAACAGCTGATTGAGGGAACTGCTCTGTGTGGGTTTTCTGCTCGGAGAAGAAAAATGCTGAGTAACCTCATTAGTTCTGGTAGTTATTTCTGTGCTTCGTTGGGATAAGAATGAGCAGGATTTAGTCCTCCCAATTTCCCTTTGTACAGATTGTTGGAAGAAAAATGGAACAGCAGGTCTCTGCAGCTAAAGCTGAGATTTTGGGTTCCAGTTGAATGCTGTCTCATCAGGARCCCAAGTTGCTGGAGATGTTTATCAAGAAATCAGAATTTTCTTGGGATAAGAGTGGGAGTTTTCTCATATTTTCACCATGGTTCTAGTTCAGAGAAGTTCCTTTTCAGCATGGAGATATTTTTGGGAAGGAACTGAACTGCTGATTGGAAAGCCTTGTTTGCTGTCCCAAGATGGGGACTCTGAGCCTCTGTCTCATKGTGTGGAATCACTTCCCTGATAAAGATGTTCTCAGTAGATGCCAAACTCTGCCCTGGTTCCATTTTGATGCAGTTGTACAGTTGGGAAATAAATGAGGGTCTGGGAGAGCGTGATGTATGAGCYCCTAAATGGCTGCATTTTGTTCATATTTGAAAGGCAGTTTAGGCTGTCGTCATTACTGATGACTTGTGCTTTTATAGCCCTTCTTTTTGCATTTCAGAAATCCTTTGTGCCCATCTGAATAATAAATCACCCTGTTTGATTTGCTCACTGAGAGCAAATGGGAAATTACATCCTTGTTAAGATGTCTTGAGGAACTGGAAGTGTGGGAGAATTTTTTAAAGGAACATTCTGCTGACTTTGTTAAGATTTTGCTTTGTCTCGTTTRTTTTATGACCTTCCCAAATTCCAGGGTTTTCTCTCCCAGCTGCTTTATGGCAAAGGRAAAAATCCTGCCCTGCTTAAAAATAAAAAATAACAAATCTGATCATACTTTTGATTGCCTTCAGACAAATGGTTTCACATTTAAGCACTTAATGAAATCTGGGATGAGCATGAATTCCATCTTCAAACTCAAGTTGTGGSCAGAAAAAAGGCAAATCCAACAAATAATGGGGATACTTGCATCTGATTCCTATTTGCTCTTTGGTGGAATAATATATTATTTATRCAACATTGATTTCATTAGATGGAGGATTTAATGCAACTTCTCTGTCAAATTGGAGAACATTCAGTGTTGTAAAGTAATGTAAACTCCCAAAGCCTCAGTGAGGTTTTCTCATTTGAAATAT